TTTTTTAGCTGGAGTGAAGGAAAGGGTTAATGTTTAGTTGAGGAGAAATGAAGGAAAGCGGAAAGAGGGTACTGTTTAGATGGGTAGAAGGACGGAACGGAATGAACATGTAATGATCCATTTCAGTCGCAGTGTGGCATTTTGTTTAGCCACTCCTTATTAAACTTGCATGCGCCTTCCCAAGAGCCACTTTCGGAAAACGATTCCAAGGACACAGACCCTGCTGCCGGTGCGTGGCTGACTTGAGCCCTAACCCTGGCTCTCTTAGGCGAACAGTCCTTTATCAATTCACCTCCCATGAGGTCCTAAGCCCAGGATTTCCACTCAGAGCATACACGCTCACTAAGCGTAATAGATAGCTCCGTACCTCCCATCCTTCATTGGTCTCTAATTTCTGACTTTTGAGAAAATTCCTGCAAAAGGGGAAAGGCAATAGCATCTGCTGTGAAAAGGAATCAAAGGTAGCAAAGGAAAGAGAAGAGTCATAAAGAGAAATATAAGCCCAAACCATATTGGTTATAAATGTAGTTCTTCCTGGTATGGGCTAATTCAGTTTAAAAGCAACTTAAACTGTGAGAAACAGGATGCATGACCTAATTGTATAGCAAAATGACATAGAAGCAAATTGGTGAAATCTGTCAGCCTTTGCTGCCACCTAGCGACTCCCTCTTATGTCAGTTTCGTTTCTTTAAACCTAAGGCCTGTGATTATTGAAACAGCTGGACTGCTGGGCGCCTATCCGAAGAATGTTGTTCATTGATGCTACTGGGGTCAAAACAGTATGTGCTGAATTGCAGCTCATAAAACCAGTCACTACTAGTAACTTGTTGCTGAGAAAGCCCTTCACCTGTACCTACAGACATCTGGAAAGACTAAAGAATATCCCAGAGGTTCTGCATTTTGAATAAATCCATTCTTGGCAATTCATTCTCTGCCCAAACCAGTTTTTTTTCCCCCCACAGGAACCTCCACGGGAAATGGTGTAAACTGAAATAGGGAAAGATTCTGGATGGTGTCTGGGAGGTGGATCCAAGGTCCATTTCAATCCAAACCACACTACCTTTGCAGAAGGATTAAGTAAAGAGGCTGAGAAGCTGGACAGGAAGCCATCCCCAGGCTAGCAATCCAGTGGACCATGTCTGCAGGTACAAACAGACTTCAGAAAGCTCTTGGAGAACTTAAGTAGCCTCCCAGGATTGTGTGGGCTCTGACTAGAGACACTTCCTACTCTTGGCCTTTCAGAATTCTCATCTTTCTTCTCCACATCTAACCAGGCACTCCAATTCCCATCATGGGATCCAGGACTTCTTCTGACTGAGAGACCAGTTTGACCTGGGCCCACCACAATGCTGCTCTCCAGCCACCTTCATGTGCTGTGTCTCCACCCTTGTACCATTTGCCCATCTCTGCTTTCCACCTCTAACATTGGGAACCAGTTCAAGACTGCTGTTCCTAGAAAGGTTACATCAGTCAATTGCTCAATGACTCCGTCTTCCCTAACCAAAACACCATCCTCGGCCATCACTCCCTGATGTGATGTTTTCCTCAACTAAAACCTAAGCATTTTGAGGGCAAGAACCATCTCCCCCTGCCCATCTGGTAACTTGCACACATAAGCAAATTGTTTAATTGAATTGAATCATTTAAGAAAAAAAATCAGGGGTAGCTAGGTGGCACAGTGGATAGAGCACTGGTCCTGGAGTCAGGAGGACCTGAGTTCAAATCCAGTCCTTGACACATAAAACTCACTAGCTGTGTGATTCTGACCAAGTCACTTAACCCCAACTGCCTCACAAAAAAAAAAATTCAAAGTCTTTAGGATATGGAAGACCATAGTCATTACCACTAGAAATGGGAAAGTTAATACCACTGGTTTATTAAAAGTGAAATAGAAAAGGAGGCAATTTCTAAAACTGTTATCACTCATCTAGTATCAATATACTACCCTATGTTTTAGTTATCTTTTAAGTTCATGAGTGTTTGTGTATCTGCATTCCCCAGATAAATACAAGCTCCCTGAGGGCAAGACCCTGGTAGCTTCCAGGAGCTAGATAACATTGTGAGGAATGAGATATCTTGTTCTTCCAATTCCTAGCAACTGCTGGAACTATGAATCAAGGGCCTCTGTCTAGCCTCCCATCACTCCTAGAATTGGAAGGTATCTTAACAGTCACTTAGTTCAGCTTTGGATACCCTCTACATCAGTGGTATGAAACTCAAACAGAAAGAGCCATTATACTGTACATAAGGATCCCTGTGGGTTGTGTGTTGACTGCTAACCACATAAAAAATTAACTGTTCTTTTGTATTTTTATTTATTTTGTTAACTATTTCCCAGTTACATTTTAATCTGGTTCAAGTTGCACTCTTAAGTGTTGCAGGCTGCACTGCATAGTCACCTATTTAACACCCTTGCTCAACCACATAGCTAAAAAACCAAAGTAAACATTTGGTCTTAATTTGAATTCAATCAGTGAACTTTCTCACAGGGAAGCCTATTTTTTGGACAGCTATTAGCAATTGTCTTAAATTTAGATATCTCCCCATGTGCCTGAAACAAGTCTCTGCCTCCTGTAAGTGCCCGTGCTATATACATTCCTCCCTTTGAGGAACAATCTGGAACCCTGTACCTTCTGGGATAAAATGAAAATGTTTAGCTCTATCTAGTACATGTAGTTTAGACACATCTAGTATTCATCTCATGTATCCCTATCTGCTGCCACTGCTAAATCTAGCTGCTCCAATTTCCCCCTCACTCATCTCTGATTAAGTATTCCATATCCCATTTGATGGATATTTGGTGTTTTAAGTATAAGCAATGCCTGAGTTACAAACCCCTGGTTTACAGTGTCCCTTCCACATGAACAGCCATGGCACTGCTCCATAGAACAGAATATCAACACCAGGCACCAGGTAGCTACATGTTTTTATAGATGGACTTAACTACTGCTAAGACAGGGGTGGGGAACTTGCACCCTCCAGGCCATATGTGGCTCTCTAGGTCCTCAAGTGAAGCCCTTTGACTGAATCCCCACCCTTGGTCTAAGATAGTAGGGGCTGGGCAGTGGCACAGCCTCTGAGGTTCATAGAGCGAGTAGACTAGTCTGCCTTGACCTTAATATAATTATAGCAAAGGAGAGGTTCCTTGGCCTAGCCTCTAAATTTGAGCTTACCAAATAAGGCGGAGATGACTAGCCACGATGATCTTCCTGTCCCCTCAATGGGAGAGGCAAATAAGATTTAAAATACCACATAAATAGAAAAGGTAGAGCTAAGGGACCTGTCTTGGCTTGCTTAGTCACTTTTCGCCTGTTAAAGAGGCTTCTGTGGGCTAGCCTGGGAATCTATTAAAAATGTGTAACAGTCTAAATGAGAAAAAAACTTTCTGAGTGTCAACCAACTTTGGGAATACAACCCAAAGTTGTAACTTGGGAACAATTTGTCTAGAGCTTTCTACTTCTTGTAACACCTTCACATTTATCATTTCATTTGATCACAGGCTTTTTGGTTATCTAGTGCTTTGGCACCAAAGCACTGATGACTGTTTTACTTCCATGAACATTGTGATGGATTTTTATGCAATTTGAAGCTAATATCCATTTTGGCTTTAGAAGAAAACTGAGATTTTTTGATAACTCTAGGCAAAAAACTATTTCTACAATTCTCAATAAGCTAAACTGAAAGAATATACTAATATTGTCAGTTTAGCACAATTACTTACGAAAACAATGCTACAAATTTCTCCCAGGGATATATTTTGACTGTGGAATTAAAGTAGATGATACTGCTGTTTTTACAGAAAAGAACTTCAGTGTTGCTTTTTTCCCTGATACGTTCTTATTTAAACCCAATAACATATAGATGAAACAATCTTTTCTATGAAATTTCTGTCTGCAGAACTTTGTTCATGCAATTTGGAGTTCTATCAAAACAATCACTTCTGTGTGATAGCTAAATAGTGTTGTCATTTATATTGTAGGTAACAACAGCAACTCTTCAAATATGTGATTTTGCTGCATTATATTGGTGGAGGCAGGATTTGAAATCAGAACATCTGTTAACCAGCCAGATCCTAGTATCTCATTTTGGTTAATTATTTAGATTTTAATTATAAGTGTTCATCATGGATGACTGAAATTAGACCTTACTAGTTTTACTAAATTCATTCGGCAGGGAAAACAATTCTTTATATTTTAAAAGCATTGTGTATACCCTTGTTAATATAAGCTAAAGGCTTCACAAAAGCTATCAAAACACTAAGCCTGGAAAACTGATATTGGGTAGATGATAATTATTTTAAAGTACTTTTTGAATTATAGATTTCCTCTTTTGTTTCGCTACTCCACTTTTTGATACAAATCAGTTTATGATTTGGGGATCAGTGTTGAGTTACATGGAAAGATAGTGTTACGTATTTTTACTCCAAGGTATAATGTGCACTGTATCACCTTTCCTATACACAAACCTTTGCTTTGAACCTGCCAGGTGTCCAACTATATCTGCCAGTCCAACTCTTAGTACTTGTCCACTTTACCAGAGACTGAAGACAGAAAAGGTGAAGGTTGGGGAGGAGACTAGAGCAGTGAGGAGCTTCTGGTCAGGTGGCCTGCATTTGAATTTTTTGAAACTAAGTGTAGAAGCTTCTGCATTAGGCAGGTGCCCAGCTCATCTCCTCCCAAATCAGGGATTCTCAACCTTTTCTGTCACGGATCCCTTTTTGAAAAATGTCTTTGAATACACAAAATATATAAGATTAAAAAAGAAACCAAGCATTTTGAAATGAAGACATAATCTTTTTCTTATAGGAGATCAGGACCACCCCCCCCCCTTTGAAATCTGTAGACTCCCCTGGGTGTCCATGGATTTCAGGTTAAGAACTCTTGTCCTACACCTGCTACTGTAAACACCACTAATACTCACTTGTGTAGACTTCCCCAAAACTGCCACCAAAAGCAAGTGGCCACACTACAAGTTTAAGGAAATTGGTGCCAAACACAGAACATGAAGATATTGATTTTAGTGATAGGAAATTAGTAGGCTTGAGGACACTATGACAATATGACAAACAAGAAAAAAGTATATGAAAAGTTCAAACAGTGTTAAGAACCACTAGATCATTATCTTTGACTTAATCATGCTCAAAATAATAATAGGTATATCTTGTCAAAGACTTGGGTTTTAAGCACCCAGTACAGTTCAAGTCCATCATTAACTTTTCTTCTCTTCTGACTCTTGAACAATTTGTGACTTTTCCTTTAACATTTTCTGATCTCGAGAATACTGTTCAAAGATTGGTTGATAAATATAGATTCCTCCAGCAACTCCAAGGACACATGCAAGAAGCATCTGAGGAAAAGTCAATCTACCAAACATCTTATCAACAAATGCAGAAGGCCACAATGGATGTTTTCAAAAGTTACGTGTGTATATCCACGGAAATATCTTCAGATCTGTATACAAAGAAAGAAAATGGAAAATATTAATTTGGCATATCATCCTTTAGTACTTTATGTAGCCTCTCTGTTATTGTTGGAGACAATGGAACTTGGCATGATATACTACTCGAAATGGCAAGTTTGATGTATAAATGATTTCTCTCATAAAACAAATTACATGGTCATTTCACTGTCATCAAATTTAGGAGTGGGAGGAGAGAGAAATACCCATAGATTTCCATGTATTCACCTTTTCAATATTTCCAATCAAGGAATTTCATTCTTCAAAATTTTCTGGATTCTTATTACCTACCAGTGAAATAAAAATTCCTTTCCCTAGCATTCAAAATTCTTCGCAACACGGTGCCATTCAACCTTTATATGTGACACCTTTGTCACATATTACTCCCTTATTGTTCAGTTGTGTCCAGCTCTTCATGACCCCATTTGGGATTTTTGTGGCAAAGATACTAAAGTGATTTGCCATTTCCTTCTCCAGTTCATTTTACAAATGAAGAACTGAAGCAAACAGGGTTAAGTGACTTAGCCAGGGTCACTCTAGTGTCTGAGACCAGATTTGAACTCAGGAAGATGAATATTCCTGACTTCAAGCCCGGCACTCTATCTACTTTGCCACCTAACTTTCTTATTACTGTCTTACATATACCATATAATCTTCCTAAACTGTACTAACTTGTGGTCCCCCAAATATGTCCTGTTGCTCTTCACTTTCCTACCTCCCTGCCTCTGTTCATTATTATCTATGCTTGGAATGCAAAAGCGCAACTCAAATATCAACTGTTCCATGAAACCTGTGATTCTTTTTTTTTTTTTTCCTTTTGGTGAGGCAATTGGGGTTAAGTGACTTGCCCAAGGTCACACAGCTAGTAAGTGTCAAGTGTTTGGTCTGAGGCCGGATTTGACTTGAGGTCCTCCTGACTTCTTCTATCCACTCTGCCACCTAGCTGCCCCTGTGATTCTTAATCTCCACCTTTTCCTCCTGAACTTCACATAGCATTTTGTATCAGTTCCCAGCTCACCTCTTCTCAGATCAGATTTTTAACCTTTTCTGACATGGACCCTTTCTCAGAAAAATGTTAGTAAGAATCTCCTCTTGAACTTCATATAGCATTTTAATTTGTAACCCTCTCATATATTTATCATATAATATTGTGCATCAAGGTTATCTGGTTTGTTTGTTTTCTACACAGTCCTCCCTCCACCCCATCGAAAACAAAAAAAAAAAAAAATAAAACACAACTCTGCTGAACAGTCAGTGAGGACAGGGGCCAGTGTCTCTTTACAATCTATTCCCCACATATATACCAAAACAATCTTCCAAAGGTAGAGGTCTGGGCATGCTCACTCCTCAGTAAAAATCTTCAGTGGCTTCCCACTGCTGTAGTATGAAATAGAAACTCCTTAGCCTGGAATTTAAGGTCCTCTACAATGAAGGCAGTATAGCATAGAGGACAAAATAATTGACATGGACTAAGAAAAATTTGCATTCAAATCCAACCTCTGGCACTTTTTACCTGTCTGACTAGAAGCTGGGCAAGTTATTTAACCTCTGTGGGCCTCATCTGTAAAATGAGAATAATACCTGTAATGCTTATTTCACAGGGCTGTAGTGTGAGGTTCAAATGAGATAAAGTACATAAACAAAGCATTATATAAACGTCAGCTATTATTATCACCTGGCCTAGACTGATTTTATATGATGCCCCTCCATAAACTCTTTTCCTGCCAAACTGGAATATTAGATGTTTCCCAAATTTGAGATTTTATCTCCCACCTCCATTCCCCACTCAATTCCTTGGGTTGTCACCACTGTCTCTCAGAAACCTTGTCAATCTTCAAAGATCAACTAGGGTGCCACTTTTTCCACGTAGCCTTCCTTGAGCCACCCCGGTTGTTAATGATCACTCAGGCTTCCAAATGCTTTGTACTTACTTACAAACATTTGGTAACCTCCTCATTCCTAGAATGTCAGCTCCTTAAAGGCAAAGTTTTTTGTCTAATTTTTTTTTTAACCTTGTATTCCCTGCACCTATCCCAGTGCCCTGCAAGGAGCAAGTCACGTTTGTTGCAATGAATTATCTAAACCCTGTGTCTCCCCCAGCTCCTAGCAGTACTCTGCGAACAGTGCTTACTAAATGGGTGAATGAATGAATAAATGACCAAATATAGATCTGGTGAGGGTCTTAAGCCTCCGTTAGAAAAGCAATGGCTTTTCCCCAAAAGTCCTGAGAAGCAAGTGACTTTTGTTCCCAACTCCAAGTAGGATGACTTCTAAGATTTATAAGATCTAGAGCTGGAAGAGGCCTTAGAGATCATCTGGACCAGTAATAGTGATGCAGACCCTGAGGCCCAGAGAGGGCAAGCGATCTGCCCAGAGTCACACAGCTTGTAAGCTGCGGGGCAAGGACTTGGTCCCGGGTCTTCCGCCTCCACCTGCCATTAGTCAGCCCTTCCCCGGGCTCCAGCCCCTCCGTGACTCGAAGGCCCACACGAAGTTAAAACTATTTTAAGAATCGTCTAGGCTCATCGAGAGCCTCGGAAGAAACCACCCGGGCGGCTGCCGGCCGAGGGGCTCTCGCCTCCATCTGGGAACTTCCCCTCCATCGCCCCCGAGGGACAAAAGCGAAAACAGGGCAGAGCCGACCGGCTGCCCCTCACCTTCCCTGAGCCCGAGGCCCGGCTCCGGGATTACGGCTCCTCGAGCAGAGCGCAGAAGGCCCCTCAGGCAGGAATGTGGCACCTGGGCCGGGACTTAGAAGAAAACCCTCCAATTCCCAGGCACCCCTGCGCCCGTCAGCTACGGCGACTCGAAAAGGCCAAGCAGAGCGGAGGGCGAAGTCACACGCTTCCTCATTCACCTGGTGAGCGGCGGCGGTTTGGAGGGGCGCGCGGCAAGGAGCGAGGGCCGCTGGCCGGCTCGACCATGGAGCGGGCCAGGGGCAGCCTCTTCTTCAGGAGGCGCCGGAGCAGCTCCCCCGAGACGGTGAAGCTGAGGAAGAGAAAGTCTGTACTGTACAGCAGCCCCCCGGAAGGGCGCGCTGGGAACCGCTTCGGTGAGGGAAGGAGGGAGGGGCGGAGCGGGGCTTGGGGCTGTGGAGAGCGGGGCACTAGGACCCAGAGGGCCGAGCCTGCCCCCGCCCCCCCACCTCCTGGGCTAGCTTTTAAAGCCCTGCACCGCTCTTCTCCCCCCGCCCCGACCCCTTTTCCGCATTGCTTATTATTAATTATTTGTAATAACTGCGGGTTGTCTCGCAGTGCGGGTGCCTGCAATGCCCTCCCTCCTCCCCTCCCAATCCCCCGCCCCCTGGTTTGTTGTGTCTCTTGTAAACGTCCGGTCGGCGGGAAGCCGGGAAGGGCCCGGGAGCCCCGCAGACTCCGCAGGCCCCCGCGCCTCGCTTGAGGGGCTGTGGTTTCCGTGGGATGGGGAGGCCCTGGAGCCCGCCTGGGGATGAGCCTCCCTCGCTTCAAACTCTTCCCCCCTACCCCCACCCTCCCGGCCCTAAAGCCCTTCCATCCATCCGAGCTTAAATGCTGGGGACGATCCAGGGTCAACCTCGAAATGGGCCAGTTATAGGGGCAGCTAGGTGACCTGCCCTGGAGTCAGGAGGACCTGAGTTCAAATTCGGCCTCAGACACTTACTAGCTGTGTGACCCCATTACCTTTAAAAAAAAAAAAAAAGACCTGATCTAATAGGATAAAATTGAATAGGAATAAATATAGAATCTTGTTCATAGGTTCAAAAATGTTGAATGGGAAAAAAATGTATTTTTACTTAAATAATTGGTTTCCTTTGTAATCCTGTGTGTTTTATGCGTTTAGAAACATTTGGAATGGGAGCCCATAACATCACCAGACTGCTAAGGGTCCAACACACAAAAAAGTTTAAGAACACCCCATCTGGTTCAGCCCCCCAAATTTGCAGCCACCAAGTTTGAGGAGGGGAGGTTGACTTGTCCAGAGTTACAGTTTTTAGGAACAGTCAGCACTAGGATTGTATTTCTGGTCCTCTACCTAGAAAGGAGCAAGCACTTTTTGGATTGAGAGAGAGGGGACAGCAGGACCAGAGTGGGGTATGGCCCTATATAGCACTTCCTTCTTTCCCCTAAATGCAAAGACCTAGAAGAAAAAGTTGAGCCCATACAAAGGAGAGGAAGGTGGTCATTGTAGCATATGTATCCTCCTCAGCCAGACATCAGAACCTTAACAAATATCGAATCTCTATCACATTACTAGGAAGCACTATCTGCCTGAATTCAAAGAAGCAAAGAATAACTATAACTTCATCTAGGAGTGAGACTGGCAAAATTTATCTTTGTGTGCCAGTCAAAGAGAGAATGGTGTAGGGTGTACATGCTGGACTAGCCCCAGCAAGGTGGCACTGTGTCAAAGGGGAGGAAAATAAGGAAGCAGAGGGACCTGCAATCCAGGTGACAGTCAAATTTTAAAAAATAGTAGATGTTCCAGAGTAAGACCTCATGAGCTTAGCAACCAAGTACGCACCTACAAGTGGTGTGCTACTGTGCTGTGCATGTCCAGAACTTTAGTCCCAAGCAACTTATTAATAGGATTTTCTATGGAGAACTACGTGTAGGAGTTGTCTGGTTAACCCATTACATGCCAAACCAAAGTTTCTCTTTGTGCAAATGACATGTATGAAATTGTATCTCCCCCACTATGTTTTCATTAGCATAAAGTAATCCCAGGGAGGCTCCTTCTTCTACCAATGCAGTTGGCAAGTTCTTCAACTTACAGTCTTAGAGAATTGCCTAGGGCAGTGGTCTATAAATTTTTGTGACTGCATCCCATCAGTAAAAAGTTTTTGATCACAAACCCTCAGAATGTATATACTAATTTTGGTATTGGCTATACAAGTGGAGAAGAACCTAATGGGAAAGATGTGGAAGTAATGATAATATTTGATAACTGGTTTGTTATGAGAGGTGAGGCAGAGGAGATGAGGATAAAACTGTGTTACCAGGATGGTGGTACCCTCCACAGAAAAGGTTTGGAAGAAAGGTGACTTTGGGGTATGTATAATGTAATCACAAACCTTTTGTTTCTATTCATCCCTCTTTCCATTGAAAAAGAAAAAGTCAATGGTAAGTTCATCAGCTGGGTGTTTGGGTCTGGGTAGGTTATGACTCATTCTTTTGGAGAGTTGGAAGGGGGTATGATGGGTAATGTTTATGGGGTGAAATAATAATAATATTATCTTCCCATTGGTTGGTCACATATCCCTTTTGGTTCAACTCAATACAACCCCCTTAAAGCTATTCCACCACCCCCCATAGGACTGTGACCTTCACATTGCAGACCACTGACCTAATGCTACTGTACAAGATTCACACAGTCACCAAATAGCAAGAGGCAAGACTTGAACCTGAAATCCATTCTTTCTGACTGTCCACTGCTCCATGTTGCCTCTCATAAAATTTTATTATGTGTACAGACATGTTAGAGAACATCCTTCTTCAAAGGTCAATGGAACATAATAGTCTAAAATCAACTGGCCGTTAGAGTTGGCAGGAATAGGAGCCTATTCTCTCCTAGGCCCATCTCTAGGAAATGATCTTGATAAATGGGTGAGGCCATGATCTCTAAGACTTAGACAGGGGCTACTTAACTAAAAATGCTTCAGTTGTATGACTCTAGCAAAATAAGTTAAATTAAGGGAAAATTAATCTGTTTAACTTTGGTACCACAGATGTTGATTTTGCTTTCTCAGATCTTCTTGGTGAAAACAGTTACCTGGTCTTGTTTTCTGTATCTCTAAGAATACTTAACTGCTTTTTAGTACAGACAAGCTTTGTTCCTGACGAGTATTGGCAGTCTCTTGAAGTTGCACATCACATGGTTTTCAAATATCCTTATGAGTTCTTTTTTTCCCCAAACTAAAAATGTTTTAGGTATTATGCTCAACCCCTATTACATATTTTAAACTAATTTTCAATTCTCTTATTTTTCTCTAATCCACCTTTTGTACTTTTCTTTAGGAGCAGTGTTGCTTCAATAAGCATTTAGTAGTAATCTATTAAGCACCAATATTCTGCATGTTGTGGAAAGATACTAAGAAATAAGCTGTGGACCTTTGGTGGCTTGGAGTCTGGATAGTGAAGGGGGCTTTTCCTAGAATTCCCATTAAAAAAGGGGAAGTATTTTGGCCTGAGTGCTTTTTGAATCATTGTTAAAAAACAATGTGCTTTTTGAAATTTGGAAATGAGAATTGAATAGGAAAATTATTTTATACTTCCGTATTATTTGTCATTTTGTCCTTAATATTATTAATTATGGTTATTTGACCTGGGAATGGGTTGAAGGTTTGAGAGGTTACTCATACCCCTTAATCTTTGCAAGCATTTATAAGATTCTGTATCTCTTCGCAAAGGATAGCGTGCAGTTGCTGGTAAGTTTAAATAAAAGTAACTAGTTTATTTGTTACTGCTGGGTTTATTTAATTTTTCTGTAATCGATTATATAACAACTAAAATATTAATATTTGCACAATGTAAGTTTGTTTCAATGAGATTCAGTGCTAAGGAGCTGGATATCATAGGTCAGATCATAGCTGTGAGGTCCTTGGTCCCAAAGACCTGTGACATATTAATCACTCTATAGGTGTAGCATCTAATATAAGATTCAGTATAGGCCAGCCCTGCTTAAAGAAAACCTGATTTAAAAACCCCAAACATAGAGAGCCTCACAGTTTACATAGTAGTTGCCTCACAACAAACCCTGATAGATAGGAACTGCAAGTATTATTGCCATTTTATAAATGAATGAACTGAAGCTCAGAGAAGTTGTAACTTGTCTCATCACACTGTCAGTAAGTGTCAGAACAGGAACCAAACAGTTCTTGTGACTCTGAAGTCCATTGCTCTTTCCATTGTTCCTCATATAGTATACACAAGTGCTTTGCAAGGGGCTGTACAAATAAATGTAAGATAATATTTACAAAAGTCATCACCATAGATACTGTTTTCCCAATAATATTTTTTAAAGAAAAATTTTAGCTAGGAATTATTGACAATTGAAAGTAAAAACATCTCTGGAATTTTAATGGAAAAACACAATTTGATTGACAGAAGTTAAACATATAGATGGCTTTTCAGAAATATATTAGTTATATAAAAAGAAACAAAAAAACTGACAAGTTGTATTTCTTCTGAGTGATTACTATGTATATAGCCTTATAACTGGCTAGTTCAAAGTTTATTAAAGTGCCAAATCATAGATTTCCAAGTGATTGATGAGTTATGAGGCTTTGGGAGGAACTGTTATTTTGAACAAAAATATGATTTTGAAACCTTACCAGAAGCCTTTATTTTGACCCTTATTTCAAATAATTGCATTATTAAAAAACTAAAAATGCTTCCCAATGGTATATACAATAATCAAATGGCTAACATTGCTTATAGTTTTGAGTTACCTTTTTATTAGTCACTAATATAGTAATGGCCAAGGATGAATGGACTACAGTCTGCATTGTTGGAGAGTGCCTGTATTAATAAGATCACAGCTCCATCAAAGTGCTAACTACTAGTTATCCAAACTTAATATTTAAATGATGATAGTCCTTATATAATTCTTCATTTTTATACCTTTCATCTGTTAAATTACGTAAACTCTCTTAGCAGTAGATCAAATATCACAGTTAAGATGCCAATTGAACCAGTGTTTATAGCTGCTTTTTTCAGTTTGTACAACAGACTTTTATTTTTCTCTTTTTGCTTTTTTAGATTTGGGTTCCTAGGCTTGCCCAAGCACTTCTGTCTGCTGTAGCAGATGTGAAGCTTTACTCA